CTAGCGTCATCAAATTAATAAAAAAATCCTCTATTATGGATGATACTGGTCGCGAAAGCCTGCTACTAAGTGTTAAACTTACCCTACGATTGCTTAGTTGGAATAACCAACAGCAAACATGACCCCTAACTGACGAGATCAATGTCCACTTGTGCCGCACAGAGACAGCTGCCACCAGGGCTGTCGGGAGGAGGGGTCCCCTAGGCGAAAACAAAACTCACGACAACTGGAACTTTGGATTGATTAGAATGATGATGGCATTAAACCACCACCCCCCCCCCCCCAATATATATACTGATCCTTACAACACTACTCGTCGATTAATCGAACTAATAATCGGTAGAGTAATTCCTTTGATCCAGTAATCGGATATTCGCGTTATTTGTCGAGTCGTTGAACCGATAATCGACAATCAGCTGCTTGAATAATCGAATGGTCCGTGTGATTCGTCGAGCACATCGAACCGATCATCGGTAGCGCGTGATCGGTTATTGGAATAATCGGTTGTCCGTGCTTTCGGTCGATTAATCGAACCGACGCGAATCGGTATCGCGTGATCGGTTACTCGAATACCGGGATAATAGGCCAAGGGTGGAAGCCTCTCGTGGCCCCGCTCGTGAGAGTGCGCGGGGCCCCTTTGAGGAGCGTAAATCAATGCGAACGAGATGCGGTATCGATTTAGCGAAATAACTCAGCGCAGAGATCGGCCCAGACAATCACATTACAGCGAGAGCCGACACGCCGAGGGGGGCGGGGCTGGGCGAGGGGGGCGGGGCTGGAGGGGGGCTCGCCCAGGAGCCCAGACCCCCAGCGTGCCCCGCCCCTCGCGATCACCCCGCCCCCCACACCCCTCTCCTCGGCCCCCCACTCCTCCACCGCCACCACGCAGGGAGGGATTGGAGGGATGGGAAGGGATGAGAGGATGGGAGGGTGGTGGGGAGGGATTAGAGGGATTGGCGATTGGGAGGGAGGGATGGGAGGGAGGGGAGAATGGGAGGGAGGGATGGGAGGGAGGGGAGAATGGAAAGGAGGGGAGGGAGGGAAGGATGGGAGGGAGGGGTGTAATGGGAGGGAGGGGAGAATGGGAGGGAGGGGAGAATGGGAGGGAGGGAGGGGAGAATGGGAGGGAGGGGAGAATGGGAGGGAGGGAGGGGAGAATGGGAGAATGGGAGGGGAGGGGGGGATGGGATGGGAGGTTGCTGTGTTTTATGAACCGTGCGACCCACGCGTCCAGCTGACGCGAGGGCACTGGCGAGTTCGCGTCCCACGAACCCCCAGAGGGTGGCGAGCGGAAACCTCACCACAGCCACTGCCCCCCCCCACCACCACCAAAGGCAAAGATCCCCCGTATAGCCTTTACCAGACTGTTGGGGCAAGTGCTGTCAGCGAGTAGCACCTATGAAAGCCGGAACGGCACACTACGGGGGGGGGGGGGGATGAGCAGCACCACGCCAGGCCGCATTTGTCTCCCCAGCGGCGATGCTTACACACCGCACCAGTTACTCATTCGAGGCTTAGTCGACCTAGGCGAGGCCCAGGACCGGTTCAGATAATCGTCACCGGTGTTGGTGGTCGCCTTGAGCGTGAATCGAACTCGGGTCGCCGGGTTCGAAGCGCAGCGCGCTGACCGCTACACTACCGCTCCCCACTCACCACCATCCCCCCCCCACCCCTCCCCAAAAACGCAGAGGTCATGACCCCCGCCACGTGCGCTCACAAAGAGATCCACAGTTGGAGGCACTGCCCAGTGCGGTTACGCGTTTAGCAGAGAACAGGCAGCAGCAGCATCAGTAACTTCATCAGCAGCAGCAGCAGGAGCTTTGTCACCGTCAGGAGCAACAGCTTCATCATCATTGTCATCATCAGTAGCAGTAGCAGCCGTACGTTCATTAGCGTCAGCAGAACCACCATCAGCAGGAGCTCCATCAGAAGTGGAAATCGCCGCAGTGGTCGTTGCAGCAGCAGCAGCAGCACCCGCACCTCCGATTCGCACGGTGGGCTACGTAGGGTGCGAAAGAAGTTCCACGTGCATCCGTAACAGGAGTAGAAGCATCAGCATCGTGATCGCCAGCAGCAGAAGCAGGAGCACGAAGAGAAGCCGATGTCGTGTCCACGTGGGCGAGCCATCCAGTGCATCACGGCAAGGCCGTAGCCATGGAGTCAACATTGGGGGGGACCAAATCTTCCAGGGGGTCTGGGGGTCCCCCCCCCCAGAAAAAAAATCTAAATTTTAAAACGAATTTCCTGCCTAAAATATAAAACAATTCACTCACACCTAGGATGGACTTTTATTTATTTTTTACAATAATGTTTAATAGTGTATTGTATTACATTGCTCTGTTTTTTTTCTTTTTTTACCTTTTCTTGTTTCATTGTAATGGCAGAGATTAGGGATTAATAAAGTACAACCATAACCACAATCATATAAACAGAAATCTATTTTATAGCAATATATTGGGGGGGCATTTTGAGCACTCGCCCGTTCACTCGCCCACTCACCCGCTTGCCCGCTCACTCACCCGCTCGCCCGCTCACTCGCCTGCTCGCCCACTCACTCGCCTGCTCGCCCACTCACTCGCTCACTCACTCGCCCACTCACTCGCCTGCTCGCCCACTCACTCGCTCACTCACTCGCCCACTCACTCGCCTGCTCGCCCACTCACTCGCTCGCTCACTCGCCCGCTCACTCGCCTGCTCGACGTGATGTGCGCTCTTGCGTGGTGGAGGCCGCGCGAGTCCACGCGGGTACCTCGTGTGAGCGACGACGATGGCGACGACGAGGATGACGAGGACGATGATGACGAGGACGATGACGACGACGAGGATGATGACGAGGATGATGGCGACGATGATGACGAGGATGATGATGACGAGGAGGATGATGATGACGACGAGGATGATGCGTACTGACAATTACCAGTCAATGACCACGCTAATGATAAATCGATATCGGACTACGCTAACGCCGGGCGTAGATACTGATGCTCTACAATTACACAACACGGCGATGATGATGATGATGTTGTTGTTGTTGATAACGCTGCCACTGTTGATGCTGCTGCTGCTGCAGATGCTGATTGTAATGATGATGCGAGATTGATTTAGAGTTCGTCCCTTACAACCATTAACCCGCCGTCTGCCTGCGCCATTCACTCTTCTCGCTCGCTCGCTCAATTAGCAGAGGGGGTGGGGGGGGGACAGCCCCCGGGGAGGGGGGACAGCCCCCCCAGCCCCCCACAACCCCCACCCCCCGGATGTCTCCCAGCACAGATGGCGGACAATAACAGCCGCCACGTGTCACATTGACTCTGCCCGAGCGCCACTCGGAGACACGGGAGAGCGCCCGGGCTGCGCGTCCACGGCCACGGAGACGGAGCGATGGAAGCGGATCGCTCCGTGTGGATTATTACGGCGCTGGTTCGTCGGCTGCTGCGGCGGATAGGGGAGGAGGCCTTCGTCCAGCAGTGGGTCGACCCTGGCTGAGGGAGGATGACGATGACGCCCCAACACACGTGCGGGGCTGAATTTAATCGCGACTGCATTTGACCGAGTTGAGTAAACACTACAGAGATTTTAATCTTACAATGTCAAATGTATATAAAATTAACCCACTTCTTCTTCGCCATCGTCATCACCACCACAACACACACACGCAAACACACACACACGCAAACACACACGCACACACGCAACACACACGCAAACGCACACACAAACGCAAACACACACACACGCAAACACACACACGCACGCAAGCCCCCCTCATTCCACGCACGAGTGTTCTTTTTTCCCGTGCCGGATAACCTCACCCGTTTGGAAACTTGGAAGTCAAACAATGCCTGTGCCTCTTCGCTTAAAAAAACAGTTGCGACGGACAGACGGCACACAAAATCCTTTTGTCCTCCAAAATAAGAGGGGGAGGAGGAGGTGGTTGGGGAGGAGGTGGTGGGGGAGCAGGAGGTGGTGGGGGAGGAGGTAGTGGAGGAGGTGGTGGTGGAGGAGGTAGAGGAGGAGGTGGTGGTGGAGGAGGTAGTGGAGGAGGTGGTGGTGGAGGTAGTGGAGGAGGTAGTGGAGGAGGTGGTGGAGCAGAAGATGGTGGTGGAGGAGGTGGTGGGGGAGGTGGTGGTGGTGGTGGAGGTAGTGGACGAGGTAGTGGAGGAGGAGGTGGTGGTGGAGGAGGTAGTGGAGGAGGTGGTTGGGGAGGAGGTGGTGGGGGAGGAGGTAGTGGAGGAGGTGGTGGTGGAGGAGGTAGTGGAGGAGGTGGTGGTGGAGGTAGTGGAGGAGGTAGTGGAGGAGGTGGTGGGGGAGCAGGAGGTGGTGGTGGAAGAGGTAGTGGAAGAGGAGGTGGTGGTGGAGAAGGTAGTGGAGGAGGTAGTGGAGGTGGTGGTGGAGCAGAAGGAGTGTTGATGTTCTTGTTAATAAAGTTGTACATTTCCATTAAAAATAAAGAGAGGGGGGGACGTCTCCGAACGTCTTCAAATCCGCGGTTGCGCCCTGCGCCGCCCGTCCCCCCCCCACATCTTCAAAGCCACGCTGGCGGGGGCACCTCGAGAACGACAAATCACGCGATGATTTTCCCCTTCGTTGGAATTCCGCGACCTTCCCCTGCGTCAGTGACGCTCGCGCGCGGCGCCACGGATTCGTCGTCGTGCCTCTCCCGCTCCCTCCTCCTCCTCTGTTCGCTCACTCGCCTTCAGTGGCCCTCGTCGTCGCGATCTATCCGCTGCTGGATGGCGGCCTCCTCCTCCTCCCCGCGTCGAGGAGTCATCAATCCCCTGCGCTCCGTCTCCCTCGTCGGAGACCCTCTTGGAAGGGTGCAAACCTCCTCTGGGCTTGGTGTATTAAAGCAGTAGGTACCAAAAAATGTAGTGATCAATAAAGTAGGCGACGTTTCGGGCAATGGCCCTTCTTCATAGCGCATGCAGTAGATCATTTTAGGTGGTCCAAGCAAGACTCAAGAGTAGCATCGTCACGTGCCAGATGTGTACGACTCAAACAGATGTTGTATTCGTATTTATTTACCACTTTGCCGTCCGTGTACTGTAGTGTATTAGCTTTGACAATGAGATTAAAAAACAGAAACATTACTAAAGTACAGTACAAATAGTTAAGAATGTTACTGAGTGTGTGAAATACAAAAGCACAGTCAATTCTGGCGATCGTCAGCAGAATGACGCCAAATGTAAACTGAAATTATCTCACAATCGAGGTTTTTGTTGGGTTAGATCCCGTAAATGTATAAATGTGTCGTTAAAACCCACCACCACCCGACACGGCCAACTAGTAAGGGTTGTCACGTAAACAGAACGTGGCCAATTCGTCACTCGTACAGCACTAACCTGTGTGTTGGAGAGCCAAGCCACAACATTTACAATCCGAGTACGACGTTTCGCCAGTAATTACAACCAGCTTCATCAGGTGACAGCCAAATGATTTCACCCGTTGCGAGTGGCGGGCGATAGGTTCATGAGCTAAGTGCCAATGTCGAGGTCTGGCTGCTGCTGCTGCTATCAGGATGACGAGAGGGCTTCAGCAGGGAGAGAGTTCGCGTGGTGCCGCTGTTCCTCCTGCGTTGAGGGTGCGTAGACCACAGTGGTGTTGACTGCGTGGGCCAAAGTGTGGGTGGCTTGGCCACAATCTCACTCCTGTGCCTCGTCTTTAATGCATCTCGACGGGTCTCCATGTATCTCTCGCAATCTATGTATCTCTATGAGCCTGAATTTATCTAAATGGCTTTCTATGCACCTCTATGGGTCTATATGATATCTAAGTGCAGCTCTAGGCAATTACAAATCTCATCTTCCTTTCACAAGCTAATTCGCTTACTTGCCGCACGCACCGGATGATTGGTAATCACAGCACGGGGGAGGGGTAAGGGGTCAACACAACCACCAAGCTACCTGGGAGCTCGAGGGGGCTCAACTCGCTCACACGGAACAAGACGCCGCCGCGTCCACGCAGGGGGTCTACACCAGGGACAGCTTTCTTTTGAGCCGAGTCTCGGTGTTCGACCAGAGGACGCCCAAAGGCCTCTGGTCAAACACCACCTTTTGGCGTCTCTGGTGTGGACCAATCAGTTTCAAGGACAATGCCCATATATTATCAGAGTATGTTTTTGTTTGCATTCTGACCACAAGTATTGTGGTTAATGCAGACATGATTTCGTTTAAAAGGTTTCAGTTTGGTGTTCTAACATTTTAAACACTTATTTTTTTGCCAGCAAAAAGGGGAAAACCTATTCTTATATTTTGGTACAGCAAAGGAGCTCCCATGATGACAGAGGAGTCCCTGTAATTAGATTCGTCGCTTATATTAGCTTAAGTCCTGCTGTGAGAATTAAAACAAATTCAATCTATTTTGGCATTCGATCCTCTGCATGGGGCATGAAAAAGGTTTGCTGCCGAGCGTGGCTTCGAGAGGCCGACTGCAGTCAGCTCAGAAGTAGTTCTATCACGTCGTCTTCCGCGGGGGGGGGGGGGGGGGCGTTCTCTGACACAGGGTGATGCACCGCTGGCTGCCCCCTTCTGAATGTCAAATAAAATATCTTCGGCTATCGACGCGAGGTCTGACCAGCACATTGATGGTGGGGAGGGGGAGGAGGTTAACAGCAAAAACGATCCATGGCGCCTGTGTTCAGGTCACACCGCGTGTCGCTCGGCACGATGTCCGCCGTTTCGCTCCAAGGGCCGGGAGCTTTTATAAATAAACTGTAACGCTGAACTACTTTTTATTCTACCAGCTAAGGCCCCCAGAGCTGTGTAGCTCTTTTTCAGAAGCGACGTGGCTATCACAAATCATAGCTTCACGAATTAGCTTATCAGGTGGAAATGTATTGCAGCCGAATACTCGAAACGCGTGATGTTGATTCTAAATGTGGAGAGAAAATCCAAAAGACCCGGAGAAAAATCTACGAGACCACGGGGAGAGAGAGACACGTAAACTTCCAAATGTACAGCAGGCGTCAGGGACAGGATCGAACCCACGACCTCCTGTGTACCAGGCGAGGTAGTTAACATCTCGCCACCCCCTCAGGAATGGAAGGGAACGTCGTGCCGAACAACGCGCGGCACGACCAGAAGACCCATCGCGAGAGCTGCGCGGCGCGACCGCAGAAACACCGTCACGCAGCGCGAGTGGCGGCAGCGGCCGCAGCCGCCGCGTTTAAACGTCAACGACGAACGGAGCGCAGGGCAGCTTCTCGCGAGCGGAGAAGCAGGCCCGGAGCCACGCGGCCGTCACCACGGTGAGGTCGGGCCGCCGGCGCACCGCCTCCCGCAGCGTCTCGGCGTCGCCGGAGCCGGGCTCCCGCCCCGCCGTCACCAGGTGCGTGGTGTCGGCGTCCACGCCGGCGCTCACGTCGCCGTCGAACGTGACGAGGTAGCGGGCGAGGCGCGCCACCTCTGCCTCGGGGAGCCCGAGGAAGCGCGCGCGCACCCCCGACATGAAGTCCGGGAACCCCAGCGACCAGGAGTCCGACTGCCCCGTCGGTGAACCGGCCGCGTTCGGGTCGCCGGGACCGGCCGCGAGAGACGGTGACGACGACGACGACAGAGGAGGAGGACGGGTCAACGAGGAGGAGGATGAGGAAGAGGATGGAGAGAGGGCGGCAGCTGAAGCCGGTTTGATGCAGGCGGACACGCTGGGGCCCGGCTTGTGGGTCGCCGCGGATTGCGCCGCCGTTTGGGCGGAGGCCACAGAGGTCGTGGAGGCCGCGGATGAGGCGAAGGCTGCGGGTTTGGGCGTGGAGGAAGGCCGGGCGGCGGACGCAGCAGCCCCTTGGCGAGTCCTCCTCGGGTGGTAGTAGATGTACGTGGGAACGCCGCGCGACACCAGGTGCTTGCGGACGAGCCTCTCCGTGGCATACCAGTTGAAGCCCGGCGTCGCGTGCCCGATCCTCGGCAGGTGGACGCCGGCGCGGAGCCTGCGTGCCGCTCGCCGCACGCGCCTGAGGCCCGTCTCCAGGGCCGCCAGCGAGATCCCCGACAGGACGTTGTTCGGGTCGCGGCTCTGGGCCACGACGAGGGCCAGCGTGTCGACGCCGCCGGCGCGGCTCACGCGGTCGTCCACGGGAATGAGGTGCGCGTCCCCGAGCGCCAGGTCTCCCATCTTGCCGGCGCGCGCGTAGTGGCGCTTGGGCTGCGTCGACCTCTTGTCGAGCGCGGAAAAGAGGCCCCCGTGGCCCCAGCGGCCCGAGTTGTCCACGCAGTGCACCACGATGGCATTGCGCCCCGCGGGGGCGTCGGGCAGCGTCACGTCGCCCAGGACGTAGCGGATCTGCCCCCCCTCCCCCTCTTCGTCCTCCTCCTCGTCCGAAGCGCCACCCTCGACGTCTTCGTCGCTTCCGCTTGCGTCGTCCGACGCGGCGCCCTCCCCGCGCAGCGCCACGTTGAGCGACTCGTAGCCGGCCTCCTTCCAGAGCGCCAGCTTCTTGCGCTGACGCTCCACGTCCATGCGGGCCCTCTTCGCGGCCAGGGCGCGGTCGCGCTCCCTGTCCAGCTGCCGGCGCCGCTCCTTCCTCTTGGCTCGCTCTTCCTCCGTGAGCGGCAACCGCTCGCGCCGGACAGGCAGGGCCAGCGCCGCCGAACTCTGCGACGAACCCCCGGCGCCGCCCGCCCGGCTGTTCATATCCTGACGCAGCAGCGACAGGGCGGTGAGGTCGGACGAGCTGGCGGGCGCCCTCAAGTAATCCGCGCTCTCCAGAATGCGCCGGTCATCTTCCGTCTGCCGACGGAGCGCGCCCCTCCGCGGAGGAGCGTCCACGCCTTCCGCGGGCGGCTCCTTGATCACCCAGCACCCGTCGCGGCTCTCTCCCAGAATGGCCTGTAGGTCCATCTCCACGGAGGAGCCCTCGTCCGACTCCATCAGCGTCCCGAGGCCGGCCAGCAGGATTTCCGACAACTGCTTCGGAGACTCGTCCTTCATGTCGTTGGAATCGCTGTCCTCCCTCATCTGCGCCGTCACGGCGTGCGTGAGCCGCAGCTTGGCCTCCTGCCCGCCGGTATATCACCTCCTCCACGGTGCTGCGCCCGATGAGCCGGATCACCTTCACCGGCCGCGTCTGCCCGATGCGGTGGGCCCGTGCGGCCGCCTGCGCGTCGTTCTGCGGGTTGAAGTCGCTGTCCACGAAGACGACCGTGTCGGCGGCCGTGAGGTTCAGGCCGACGCCGCCGGCGCGCGTGCTCAGCAGGAAGACGAAGATGTCCTTCTGGCCGAACGACTTGATGGCCAGGTGTCGCTCCTCGCCGCGCACGGAGCCGTCCAGGCGCTCGTAGCTGTAGCCGCGAAACTCGAGGAAGTCCTGCAGGATGTCGAGCATGCGCGTCATCTGCGAGAAGATGAGCGCGCGGTGGCCCTCGCGGCGCAGCAGCGCCAGGATGCGGTCGAGCGCCAGCAGCTTGCCGCTGGCGCTCACCAGGTGCTCGCCCTCCACGAAGGGCTCGGGTTCGGCGCCGTTGAACAGGTAGGGGTGGTCGACGCACTTGCGCAGCTGCATGAGGATGTTCATGAGCCTGACGCGCGCGCCCGTCGTGGGGTCCTCCAGGGCGTCGAGGTCGCGCGACAGGATGGCGCGGTAGTACTGCTTCTGCAGCGCCGACACGCCGTGGTAGAGCACCAGCTCCGTCTTCGCGGGCAGCTCGGCCGCCACCTCCGTCTTGAGGCGGCGCAGCACGAAGGGGCCCAGGAGGTCGCCCAGCTCCGAGGCGCGCTCGGGGTCGCTGCCGACGCCCGCGAAGCGCTGCACGAAGGCCCGCAGGCCCTCGGGCGCGAAGGTGCCCGCCGACACGAAGCTGAGCAGGGAGTAGAGCTCCGCCAGGTTGTTCTGGACGGGCGTGCCCGTGAGCAGGACGCGCTGCCCGATGTCGAACTCGAGCAGCGCCTGATGCAGCAGCGAGCTCTGCGACTTGAGGCGGTGGCCCTCGTCCACCACCAGGACGGACCACGGCAGGCTGCCGAGGAAGGCCGCGTCCTTGAGGCACAGCTCGTAGGTGGTGAGCAGGATGTGGAATCCTCCCGATTTGATCTTCTCCTGCAGCTTGCCCCGTTTCTCGATGTCCCCCAAGTACACGATTATGGAGATCTCCTCATCCTCCTCCTCCTGCTGCTTCCCCTCGTTGTCGTCGTCATCGTCGCCACCTCCCCCCTCCTCCTCCTCCTCGTCGTGGCGGCCTGCCCGCTGGCACATCCTCTTCATCTCGTCCTGCCAGTTGTGCGTCACGGAGAGCGGCGCGAGGATGAGGAACGGGCGGTCGACGCGGTCGCGACGCACGAGTGACAGCAGGAAGGCGATGGTCTGGCACGTCTTGCCCAGCCCCATCTCGTCCGCCAGGATGGCCCCGTGCTGCCCCTCGCGGCAGCGCCTCAGCCACTCGACCCCCTCCAGCTGGTACCCTCGCAGCACGAGGCCCCCCCGCGTGCAGGAGCCGCGATGCTGCTGCTGCTCGCCCAGTGATGGGGCCGACATCTCTCTCGTGTCTCTCCTCGTGTCTCTCCTCGTGCCTCTCTCTCGTGTCCCTCTCTCCGGGGCCCACTCGCTTCTCGTGTCGTGATGCTGCTGCTCCGTCTCTCTCTCGATCGCTCACATTGCCGTGTCTGCCTCGCTCGACCCCGCGTCTCGCTCCACGTCTCTCTCAGCGTCTGTTTCCCCGTGTGTCTCTCACAGTGTCTCTCTCACCCCGTGTGTCTCTCCCCGTGTCTCTCTCTCACAGTGTCTCTCTCACAGTGTCTCTCTCCCCGTCTCTCTCTCACCCCGTGTGTCTCTCCCCGTGTCTCTCCCGTGTCTCTCTCCCCGTGTCTCTCTCACAGTGTCTCTCTCCCCGTGTCTCTCTCACAGTGTCTCTCTCCCCGTGTCTCTCTCACCGTGTCTCTCCCCGTGTGTCTCTCTCACCGTGTCTCTCTCACCGTGTCTCTCTCCCCGTGTCTCTCTCTCACCGTGTCTCTCTCACCGTGTCTCTCCCCGTGTCTCTCCCCGTGTCTCTCTCTCGCCGTGTCTCTCTCTCACCGTGTCTCTCTCTCTCACCGTGTCTCTCTCCCCGTGTCTCTCTCCCCGCGTGTGTCTCTCCCCGTGTCTCTCTCTCTCTCCCCGTGTGTCTCTCACCGTGTCTCTCTCTCCCCGTGTCTCTCCCCGAGTCTCTCTCCCAGTGTGTCTCTCCCCGTGTCTCTCTCCCACCGTGTGTCTCTCTCCCCGTGTCTCTCTCCCACCGTGTGTCTCTCTCCCCGTGTCTCTCCCCGTACACAAAACACGGAAATGGCAGCACGCGCGTCACGTGACCGCTGGGCCGCGAGTGCGCGGTGACGTCACGACGCCGGCCGCGTTGGCGACGTCACCGCGCGACCGGTCGCGCGCAACGAGTCGCCGCTCGACTGATGGTCGCTCTGCGCGGCAGGGGTCGCGAAACGTCGACCAGGCTCGTGCCTCGCAGCAACGGGGGCCGGGGGGGGGGGGGCCTGGGTTCTGTTCCCGGCTGGGCTCCCCCCCCCCTGGTTCTGCATGGGGGTTCCCCCGGGTTAACGCGAAGTGATTCAACTCCAGCAGAGAGTGGCTCTTCATCCTGGGGGTGCGAGATGCCCTCTCTGAGAACCAAAGGGCTGCAAGCTGCAGCGAAGGTCAAGAACCACTGAACTGCAGCATTTAGATGTGTGTTTACGAGGTGCAAGCCCCCCCCCCCCCCCCCCCACTGAGCTGTACAGCTCGCACAGATGACAGCTCAACGAAGTTGGCTCATCACGTGGGAATTTAGAGCGGCAGACACATGCTCTAAACGCGTGGTGATGTTGATGTTTAACGTGGAGGGTAAAACATCGGAGAGAAGTTCACGCGACCACGGAGAGAAAGAGAGATAGAGACGCAATCTCCAAATGTGCAGCAGTAGGCGTCAGGGTCAGGATCGAACCCACGTTCCTCCCATAGCGAGAAAAACAGAGCAACACACGAAGCTTTGTTTTGCATACAAAAAAACAATGGCCAAATGTACAGCCATTTATCATCAACACACTGCCTCCCCATGGCTTTCGGACACGGGGAGGTTGGGGAAGTCGCTTTCATCCAGCAGTGGATTGACCATGGCTGATGATTACTCCGACGACGATGATGATGATCATCATCATCATGCGTTATGGCGCTCTGCCGCAGATGTGGCAGCTTCAGTCAATATTATCCCATCAAATAATGTGGACGTCAAGTTTTGAGTGATGTCACTTGGCTGTAAATGTGCCTCTCCTTATCTCGATTGTTGACCCGCCTATCGCTCTGTTTGCTCCGGGCAGCCGAGCCAAAGAGTCAAACACTCCAACTGCGTTCCGACCGGGAGTAAGGAGAACTCAACACTATTGAGGGTCATTTGAGGTCGGGTTCGAGGTGAACTGAGCCGCGTAGAGGTGGGGGGGACACACACGTGGTGGGTGGGGTGGGGGGGGACACACACGTGGTGGGTGGGGTGGTGAGACACGTGGTGGGTGGGGGGGGCGATCCGGTCCGGGCCTCACACAGAAGAAGGCCGGCTCCACAGCAGCTCCGTGGTTGTTGTTGTTGATGATCGTGATTGTTGTTGTTGTCGTTAACGACTGAGAGGGCCCCAGGTGGCATCCAGTCCCGAACCTCCCGGTTACGATTTGTTGATCTGAGAGGTGGGGGGGGGGGGGGGTAAATGAGCGGTGGCGCAGTGGTTAGCGCACCGCGCTATGAAATGAACCCGCACACCTGAGCTCGAATACCGCCCACGGCTCTCCATCGCTCACCGCACCTGCCCGGCGTGTTGAATCGTTGGTCCGTCGGCCCACACCGGCGTGTGGAGGGAGGCCTTCGTCCGGCCTTGTCGAGCAGTGGATTCACAAAGCACTGCAATTGAGCAATCATCATCAGTCATCATCTATCCACTGCTGGATAGAGAACTTCCCAAGCCGCCGGCGCGTCTCGCGCGCGTCTCCGTGGATGTGAAATTGCGAGCACTCGCCGCTGAGTGGCGGTGATGTCACCGCCCCGCAGTGCTTGTGCCAGGCTAGGTGCACGGCAGGGCACGTAACGTGGCCTCGCGGTGCACCGAGTCTGGGACAACCCAGCAACAGGGCGGGGAGGAGCCGAGCGCGCGGTCCCACTGCTGCCTCGAGGAAGTGGCAATTACGGCGACTCCAACTCGAGGCCCTGATTGTAAATTGGATGCAGTGGCGACTTCGTTTCCAATTAGAGTGCAGATGTGCGGCCAGGTGTAGATCAATCGATCGTCCGTCCGTCTGTCTCTCGGCGCCCCTGCAGGGCCGTGCAGTCTCGACTCCTCGCCTCTGTGCGCACTCTGCAGATTGTGTTGCGTTGTCTTCGTCAGTGACCGCGTGCGTCCGATTCGTACGTCGCAACGGGTGAATTACTACGTCACGCACTGACAGACAGACTGCCGCACTGTGGAACGCGCAATAACCCCATGTACGCCGCGTCGAGATGACACACTAACTGGTAGAGACAGTGCGTTGTCATTTTCCGCTTGTGACATGGTTTGTGCAGTGGATGCGGTTGAGGGTGGACCATGAGCAGCTTGTTGGGAGATCAAACGCCAGGCGTCAATCTCCTGCGTTGGGTCGATCACAACAGTCGGGGGGTGTGTGGTGCTTGTGAGTTCTATTCAGCTCTCCTAGCCTCATCGGGGGTTGAACTGGCATCGTTGAAGGTTAACCGCATGGAGTGCAAAGGGGCCGTCCATAAATGACGTCACTCACCTGGGGGGGGTCAGATTTTGTGACGAGGGGGGGGGGGGTTGAGAAATGTGACGTCACATCAAATGCGCAATTTTAAATAAATATAGAATTGTTATAACAACACTCCTGCAACATCAAAATGCAGCGCCACATTAAATATGCACTACAATCACAATAGTTTAAAGCGATTTGAAGCATGTTTTATTTTCAAAATGGAAATATGGTTTGGGGGGGGGGCAGAGCTTTGTGACGTCATATTTGAGGGGGGGTCTGACTTTTTGTGACGCCGTGTGACGAGGGGGGGGGGGGGTGTAAAAAATCGTTCATAATCGCGTGACGTCATTTATGGACGACCCCAAAAGGGGCTTGCGGCGTTACTCGAATCGATGAACGAGGTGACGTCGTTGAGATCAAGATGAATGGGAAGGCGCCCGTGTCCCTGCAGCCAGAGGCATACGGGCTGTGGACAAACGCCACGGGTTGGATATAAATTTTCTTCTTAACAAGGCCACAGTGTTTATCGCCGAATGAATTCGCTGTTTTTTGCCCGTTCATTACAACATTTGTGTTTTCTTGAACATCAAATGTTCATCTTGTTCCCCTCTTTACGTCGTCATCTTGAATCCGACCGCGCCTTCACCATACGTTGCCCGTGTAGAAAAATAAAAGTCTATCCGAGGCAAATTCGTCTTTGTTTTCATGAGTGGGTGGTGGGGGAATCTTCGTCTGCGTGTGGAACGCGAGCGAGCGAGAGTGGGGGGGGGGGGGGGTGATTCTGTGGAAATCCCCCGGCTCTGACCTCTGTTTTTACAGGAAATGGCACCGGGAGCCCGGCAAGTCGAGGTCACTGCCGACTGCCGCCGCCGCGCCCTGCGCATTTCCTCCTCGTGTCGCCACCAATATCACGACGCGATAGGTGAAGGAGCGGCCGTCCAATTCCTCTTCGCCCACGCCGCACGCACTTGGGTGAACGGCCACGGTGACTTTATCTGATTCGCATTTTAGTTTCCTGATCATGATGCCGACTTGCAACGCTGCTCAGCGCAGCCGCCGCGCGAGATCCGCTCGCTCTCGTAGAGAGAGAGAGCGGGAACGACTCAGAGAGAGAGGTCGACTCAGAGAGAAATGACGACTCAGAGAGGACGACTCAGAGAGAGATAGGATTACTCAGAGAGAGAGGACGACTTAAGAGAGAGGATGACTCCTCAGAGAGAGAGAGGACGACTCAGAGAGAGAAAGAGAGAGGATGACTCAGAGAGAGGGAGAGTACAGGGGGTATATGGCTCCTCCTCGACACCCACTCATGGGAAGGGAGTTGGAGCAGATGGAGAATGGTCCACAAGTTGTTGTCGTGCCGCCTTCTCTCGGGGTACGCCTCGACGCCTCCGCCTCGACGCCTGCCATCCCTACAGCACTGCACGCACCACGCAAAGATATGTGCGGCAAAACCGGGAACCTTACCAACCGGTGTTTTTTTCTTACTACCAGCTTTTCTCATGCGATTACCGGTAATGCAAAAAAAACCCTCCACGAATTTAGCAAACCTCATTGTGATGATATCGCCACTGATGTTAGCCGTGGCCTGGAAGTGAACCCGGCAGCGGCGGGGTTGATGAGAGGTGACGGCAAACCCCTCCATCCACCCGGTCCAGTAGTGACCACACGAGGCTTGCCGCTCCGCGTGGGTGCACGGGTCGGAGTGGGGGGGGTTTCCACCACGTGGTCATCATCATCACCACCAACACCACGTGGTCATCACCACCACCACGTGGTCATCATCATCACCACCACGACGTCGTTATCACCAACACCACGTGGTCGCCTCTTCCTCGAACACAAATTTCACACTCGGTGGGACAAAGCGAGAAACACGTTCACTCAACAAAAGAAACATTTTCTAATCAATGTTATTCATTTATCAGCCAAACAATATCACCGCAACGCTCACTCTGTGACGGAGTGGGGGGGGGTGCTATTGCGATGACGGTCCATGGTGTCGAGAGAGAGGGGGGGGGCGCTTGCCGACATCGGCTGCTGCCAGTCCGGCAGTTCTTTGTTCGAGCGAGCCGGACTCTGCTGATGAGCTCCAGATGAGGTGAAACCGATAGTGTGCGCGTGCGAGTGTGTTTAACCGAGGAGATGGAGAGGGAATCTTTGACCACCTTTCCACAGCGAGCCTTCGACGCTGCACGTGGCCTTCTTGCACCTCGCATGGCACAAGCGCCGTGGTGACGTTACCGCTGCCGAGTGGCTGAACGATTGCGGTTGTTGTTGTTGTTGAACACACGCTGTTGGTCATAGCATGAGTGCGGCAGCTCAAGAGGGAGAGACGGATGGATTTACAAAACATTTAAATCGCACGCGGAGAGAGAGAGAGAGAGTGGAGCGAGAGCTGTCGCCATCTATCTTATTGGTACTGCCTGTCCCAATACGTTCCGTCTTCTCGTTTATAAAGTATCGTCTTGTGTTGCCACTGTGTGTGTCTCTCTCGTTTGTACAGCGCGTCCCACTGCTGTTGGCTCGAACGAATCACGACTGCCCGGGATAAATGCCAGAAAATGTACCCCGTGGAAAAAAACAAAACCTCTCTCCGGGGAATATATTTCGCCCCTGTGACGGCTGTCAACACTCGCTACCTGCCGATGTGTCCACCTCGTCTTGTTGGTTCAACAAAGCGCGCGTCTTGAAACTCGACCCGGAGGCATACAGGCGCAGCGTGTCTCGGCTAAAACGATACACGGGGAGACGACGCCCCCCCCCCCCCTCCGTTGCCTGCTCGCCCTGGCGGCCTGTGGCCAGTGGTGGAAATTCCACATTCCTATGGAACCCGCGCTATGAAAACACTTGAAGCTCTGTTTGTATGCATGGTTGTCTCTATCGCGATGAAAACTACCAACCAGCTCGTGCATTAAAACTATTTTATAATAATAACGATGTTGGTGATGATGATGATAAGGATGGTTGGTGATAACGCGGTTAAGTGCCCACAGAAATCCCCGACCCGCAGAGAAGCCGCAGACGAGGCGCCGGCCTCGAGTCGTCAGCAGTGGCCACCCCTCCGTGGCGCCTGCATCGACACGCGGGGGGGTCGGGGTGAGTCTCGGGGTGTCTGGCGCGGCTGCGCGGGTGGAGCGGTGGCGCAGCGGTTAGCGCACCGAGCCGCCGCGCACCACCCGAGTTCGATCACCCGGCCACGGCTAACGTCAGTGGCGCTTTAATGCCACCACCCCCGCCCGCCCCGGCTCACCTCAACCCGCCGGGGGCTTGCCAGTTGCCGTCACGTCTCACATGGAGCATGCCGATGATGTCTGGACCGGTCCTGTCACTCTCCCTCCCTTCAATAACCAGCGTGGTGAAGTAAGGTGGTGGTGGTGGTTGTTAAAACAACAACAACAACAACCCGCGTGACCGACAAGGGAGAGGCGACGTCTAGCGAAGAGATGGAGCCACGAGGTCGCTTCGGGTGCAGGTGACGCAGTGGATCGGTGCAGCAGCGGCAGTAGCGGCGTGATCCTGGCTGGCGGCGATCACGATGGACTCCGCACGAGATGCAGGAAGAGCACGGCTTTGCTGTGACGTCGACGGCTTTGCTGTGACGTCGACGGCTTTGTTGTGACGTCTACGGCTTTAGTGGGCCCTGGGCAGATGTCCAGTTTGACCCCCCCCCCGCCACCCCCCACACCACTCACCCCCACTCCATCCCTCGCACCGCGGTGCCCCCCCTACCCCGTGCCCCCCCCTACCCCGTGCCCCCCGTGCCCTTCCCATACCCCGTGCCCCCCCTACCCTATGCTCCTCCCCTACCCCGGCCTCATGGGTTTTGGGAATGTTTTATTTTCTTCCCGATGTTCTTGCTGGTGGCATCAGCGAAGCTCTCGGGGTGGTGCGGTGTGCTTAACCACTGTACCACCGCTCCCCCGCGACCACAACAACAACATCCGCCGTTCGCAACAATAGTGGTGGTGAAATCACCACGGCGCTCGTGCCAGGCAAGGTGCACCTCGAGTACGCGCGCACGCCACACCAGGGTTACTCATTGAAGTCTGAATGGAGCGAGGATGGGGGGGGGCTCCCGTGTGAGGAGGCGCGGGTCTCTGGTGGGCCCTGCACCACCTTGCGCTACCATGAA